GGGGGGGGGGGGGGGGGGGGGGGGGGGTTGTGTGTTTGACCCAGTATCTAAATGTTTTAAAAGTGTTAAAATCTCTGGCATGGTGAAATATACAACACGCGGCTAGAGCTGCGAGGGCGAAATATCACTGTGACCTTGTGTGAAAGTCGGACCTATCAGTAGGGAGGTGGTCAGTAGGTCGTCCAGTCAGAAACGAGCTGATGTGTGGCGGTGTGCAAATAGGGAGACCAGCGTACAATTTACCAACTAGTCAACAAACAGTTAGTTCGGGCACAGTCCAAAAAATACACCCACGCAGTAAATGCATATGGCACTTGCTAGAGGCACCAAGGCCAACATTTTCTAAAAAAGCCTGGTCTCGCAAGGACGGCAAGGTACTTGATAACGATGACCATCGCTTCCTTGGGCAGCTGGTAAGGGAGATTATACAACTGATGGCCTGGGGTGACTCCAGCGTGTCGATGTCCTTGTGGTGTAGCTGTGTTGTACACACACACAGTGTGTCAGCTGAAGGCCTGGGGTGACTCCAGCGTGTCAATGTCCTTGTGTAATAGCTGTGTTGTACACACACACACACAGTGTGTCAGCTGAAGGCCTGGGGTAACTCCAGCGTGCCGATGTCCTTGTGTAATAGCTGTGTTGTACACACACACACACAGTGTGTCAACTGAAGGCCTGGGGTAACTCCAGCGTGCCGATGTCCTTGTGTAATAGCTGTGTTGTACACACACACACAGTGTGTCAGCTGAAGGCCTGGGGTAACTCCAGCGTGCCGATGTCCTTGTGTAATAGCTGTGTTGTACACACACACAGTGTGTCAGCTGATGGCCTGGGGTGACTCCAACGTGCCGATGTCCTTGTGGTGTAGCTGTGTTGTACACACACACACAGTGTGTCAGCTGAAGGCCTGGGGTAACTCCAGCGTGCCGATGTCCTTGTGGTGTAGCTGTGTTGTACACACACACACATAGTGTGTCAGCTGATGGCCTGGGGTGACTCCAACGTGCCGATGTCCTTGTGTAATAGCTGTGTTGTACACACACACAGTGTGTCAGCTGAAGGCCTGGGGTAACTCCAGCGTGCCGATGTCCTTGTGGTGTAGCTGTGTTGTACACACACACAGTGTGTCAGCTGATGGCCTGGGGTGACTCCAGCGTGTCGATGTCCTTGTGGTGTAGCTGTGTTGTACACACACACAGTGTGTCAGCTGAAGGCCTGGGGTGACTCCAGCGTGCTGATGTCCTTGTGGTGTAGCTGTGTTGTACACACACACACAGTGTGTCAACTGAAGGCCTGGGGTGACTCCAGCGTGCCGATGTCCGTGTGTAAAAGCTGTGTTGTACACACATAGTGTCGGGTTTTGCCAAACGCCAAGTTGTTAGTGTGAGTCATTACAACATTCCACAGCGGAAAGGCCCACTTGTTTGTATAGCTGTACCATTAGTTATGTCAGGAGAGATGTCAGGGTTAACGTACAGTTGTTGTGCGAGTCACAGTTGTAGACTAGCGTACATGTGACCTGCTGGCTGTCTCAACCTGGCTACGGTCCAGTGAGCACACAGTTCACATCCTCACCTGTTATTGCGCTGGTAGGCACATGACCTACTAATAGGAGGTCGCGGTAGATATAAGTATCTAGAGGCTTATTGTTAAGAGGATTTGGCACAGAAAACAAATTCACAACGAAATGTGGATAAACAGCAAAGCGTGGCGAGCATGAGTTTTCGGAAAAAAAAATGGCGAATGCTAGGTGGTTTACATAATATTTCTCCTTACAACCCAGAAGATTGAATATTCCTGCTTACAGCACAGAAGATTGAATATTTCTCCTTACAACACAGAGGATTGAGTATTTCTCCTTACAACACAGAAGATTGAATATTTCTCCTTACAACACAGAAGATTGAATATTTCTCCTTACAACACAGAAGATTGAATATTTCTCCTTACAACACAGAAGATTGAATATTTCTCCTTACAACACAGCAGATTGAATATTTCTCCTTACAACACAGAAGATTGAATATTTCTCCTTACAACACAGAAGATTGAATATTTCTCCTTACAACACAGAAGATTGAATATTTCTCCTTACAACACAGAAGATTGAATATTTCTCCTTACAACACAGAAGATTGAATATTTCTCCTTACAACACAGAAGATTGAATATTTCTCCTTACAACACAGAAGATTGAATATTTCTCCTTACAACACAGAAGATTGAATATTTCTCCTTACAACACAGAAGATTGAATATTTCTCCTTACAACACAGCAGATTGAATATTTCATTTCTCCTTACAACACAGCAGATTGAATATTTCATTTCTCCTTACAACACAGCAGATTGAATATTTCTCCTTACAAATGTCACCTATAATTGTATACCACGACTAATATAATTTATGTCTTTTGTAATAACTGGTTTGTGTGTGGTTCTCGTTGTCTAGGCAGTGTTCATGCGTGTGTGGTGGATGATATTCTCACACGCTCCACGTTACACAACTGGCACAAGCCGACACCGATGTGAGATTATAAGACATGAATTTATTGACGTATCAACACTTACAAAACAGAATTGTCCGGTCGGTGTCCTAGTGAACAGCTCTCGTACCCAATCTCACACAGCCTTCAACGAACAGTCTTCTTCAAGCATTCACTGATCAAAGTTGGCTCCCATGGATTCACGTTGACAGATTCTGGACATCTCACACACTGGCATGGTCGATCTCGGCTTCACACTTCGTCGGCAGGTCTCCTTTCTCCACAGGCACTCACGTAAATATTCTCACATTCAGTCGCACGTCCTCTCACTCCAACAGGTCGACACAAACTAAACTTGACCAGAGTCAAGTCTGACTTATACCACGGGTTCGTTTCACGTGACAACGCGTGGTGGTCCTTTACTTTTCACGTGGCGACCTTGGGTCGCATCATCGTGGTCCCCGTGATAACTAGTGGTTAGTCACCTATCTCCAGATTCTCGTTTAATCCAAGTATATGGACCATCTCGGTGTTTTAGGTCAGCTTTGGGCCTTCCCCCAACCATCCTAAACTGGGTGAAAATATCCCCCATTACATTTTTCGCTGTCTGTCTGTCTGTCTGTCTGTCTGTCTGTCTGTCTGTCTGTCTGTCTGTCTGTCTGTCTGTCTGTCTGTCTGTCTGTCTGTCTGTCTGTCTGTCTGTCTGTCTTGTCTGTCTGTCTGTCTGTCTCTCTCTCTCTCTCTCTCTCTCTCTCTCTCTCTCTCTCTCTCTCTCTCTCTCTCTCTCTGCGTGTGCACGCGCGCGACTGTCTGGTGATACAATAAGACAGCGAGCTGGACAGACAAACAAACAAACATACATCTGTGAAGGGTGTAATGTAATTAGGTGTAGATGAGTTCTACGGAGGAAAGCAGAATCATATAGGACTGAAACAACACCTTCTCCAGCTGGTGGGCAGCTGGCATTACTCATCGTAACCTCCTAGCTTTATTTATGTCCTTGTCAACATTGTATCGTCACAAACCTTTTCCTTTGTCCCCGTTCCCCTAATACATCCCAGCACACCCGCTCATAGTTCCTCTAGGGCCCCTGATCAATACGGCAGGACCGGCTTCTCTTCCAGCTGCCAACAAACACAAGACATAACTTTATGACGGCTTTTGTTCCCTGGGCCCTCTAACTGCTCATTAGAATAGTTCCTATTGCCCCGATGTCATGCAGGAGAGTTGATGGCTTCGGGCCGGCTCCCGTTTGAACAGGGAGAGAAACTTAGCATGTGTACAGCCGGGTGGTGGGAACATTAGTGGAGCCATGGCTTTCGCCAGCCTTATATCACACGGCTTATATCTCTGGAGAACCGCCGCGGTGTAGCTGCTAGACGCTCGCCTGTCGATCTGACGGTCCTAGGGTTCAAATCTGAACGGAGACGAACCTTTTTTTTTCCAAAAATAAACCTTGTCTTCAGGGTGGAGCCAGTCTGAAATGGGTACCTTGTAAAGTCCTGGGAAGTAAAGGCGGCCGGGGTGATGTTGACCACACCACCACCCAGTGCCGATTGGTCTATGTATAGGTCTAGCCCTATATGCCCAGTTCACCGGGCGTGGGGGAAAAGGGTCCTTTGTATCTGTTAGTTGCCCACATCTCACATCAATCTTTAGCGCAGCGGTTCTCAACCTGCGGGTCGCCATCCTTTTTTGAGGTCGAACCTAAGACCATCAGAAAACACAAATACAATAAAGTTACGAAGGAAATAATTGTTTAGGGTCTCTAAAACATGAGGGAACTGTTGTAAATGGTCGCGGTTTAGTTAGGTTGAGAGCTACTGTCTTAGCGGGTGTGAGCGACAAACCGGAGATAGTGGGTTCACCCCTAGCGGCACATAGAGATATGGTCTGTTTCTCGATTTTAGGGAGGCGGGATATAGGAAGTGTAGTTATAATTGACATTTTATTGTTGAAACGACGCGTCTTAAGTTAGTGGGGGTTCATTTCATACGTCGTCGCTTTCCTAAACGATTCTTAGTACTCATTTGCCGTCTGCTTCGACGTGTGAGGCCAGGTCAGTTTAAACAGTCGATCTTAGTTGTAATTGGATCACTTAAACACTAGAATTGCAGGCTAGGGCGCTAGCTGCTGCGCCGCTATGACCCTTATAGAGAACAGTGTTCGCTTTAGACATCACACGATAGTCGACAGTGGCACTGAGTAGACTCTCAGCCATGGACTCTGGCACCATTGTTCATTAATATCTGACACGCAGCTGTGTCTGAAATCTATACTCGACCACCCACGTTTGGCAGCAACGTCAGTTCTAAATGACCTTAGAGAGAGAGAGAGAGAGAGAGAGAGAGAGAGAGAGAGAGAGAGAGAGAGAGAGAGGGGGGGGCAGAGACAGAGAGACAGACAGAGAGACAGAGAGAGACCAGATGGTTCAGTTGTGTATCAAGAAGCACTACCGACGACAGCCTGTAGAGATCAACACCACTAACCTGTTACATCATTTTTAAACAGTGAGAAAATTGCCAGACACACAGTTGGTGAAAGAAACAACAGAAAACATAGACAGCATCGTATACCTAGCATGGTTCCCTTCTGCAAAGACAGTTATACTGACACGGGCCGCCGACTGTCAAGACAGCGGTGTACCTACACCATCGCCTACCTGCCATTGTTCCCTACTCCGAGAAAAGTTATGCATGCTGACACTTTACACCTTCTACGCCAAGACAGACTTGTGAGCGACAGAGAAGTAGACAAAACACTGAGGAAGAATGAAAGAACATACATCTGTCCCTGCAGCGATCAGTGGGTGTTTGGCTGCAGTCAGTCAGTTAGATCGACAGTACTTGCCTGCCCCTAGGAGGTGTGAAATCTGAAGTAAGCCCATTCCCCAGACTTGGTCACGGCTGTATGAGGCATCGTGATCATCTCATTTGCTGGCCGATGTTGATTTCCCTAATGTCAGTGTATATGTATATATGTATAAATGTATATATTTGTGTGTGTGTGTGTATATATATGTATATGTATAAATGTATATATATATATATATATATATATATATATATATATATATATATATATATATATATATATATATATATATATATGTATATATATATATGTGTATATATATATATATATATATATATATATATATATATATATATATATATATATATATATATATATGTGGCCACCGCCTTCTCTAGATAAATATGGCTTACCTGATAATTGATAAAAATTAAAATGCTCTGTCCATGACATCATTGATGTAGCACTGTGTTGCACGGTTATTGCCACGGTTTCCATTCGGTGCAGTTTGTAAACAGCTGCTAATTGTTGCTTTGTGTGGGAAGAAAAAAGGGAGGGGGGGGGGTTGAATATCATTAATGTTATCATCACTATCTGAGCACACATTCTTATTTGTATGCTCGCTTATGTTAGAAACTTAAACACAAACAGCAATTCGAAAAAAGGACATTAACAATTACAAACGAATCAGCAAAATGTCATACGATAACTTGTTACTTTCAACACATCTACACCGTGAATGTTCAGCAGTCACTGTGGTTGGGCGGCTAGACGCTCAGTTGCGGATCGGAAGGTCTTGGGTTTGGGTCCTGGCTGGACTTGCTTTCAAAAATGACCAAGTGCCCATTGGTCTATAACATATGTCTAGCCCTATTTGCCCTAAACGTCTGAAGGCGTGGGAAAAGGGTCCTTTACTTTCCTTACCGTGAATCTTCATCTACACCACACACACACACGCCAGGGAAAAGTATATCTGGACAGCAAAGCTTGCAAAGTCTAAACAGAATAGAGAAATGAAACACTTAAAATAAACAAACGAAGGACGTTGCGGCGACTTGCCTTCATCAGCAACCACCGACTAGGAACATTTAACGTCCAGCTGTTTGAATATTATTATTAGTTCTGACATTCTGACAACGCATATCTGAAAAGTAGAAACAGATGTCTTCGTATTGGCACATGGAATGTTAGAACGTTATATCAAGTTGGAAAATTTGACTGTTTAATTTCTTAGGCAAAGAATATGAATTTAGATATTTTGGGAGTATCAGAAACAAGATTTACAGAAGCTAGCTGCCTAAAGAGAGATGATTACATATTTATTAATTCTTGAGGAGAACATCATGAACGTGGAGTAGGATTCTTGATAAAAAGAAATTTAGAGAAGTTTATTAGCGGGTTCTGGGCGCACAATGACAGAATTATATTGATCAATTTCAAGGCAAGACCTTTTGATATTGCAATAATACAGACATATGCACCAACAACTGACTACAGTGATGAACAGCTTGAAGAATATTATGAAGAACTACAAAAAACACTGAAAGTTGTAAAATCATCAGAGGTCCTAATAGTTATGGGAGACCTGAATGCAAAAGTTGGGAAAAAGAAGCACAAACATATTGTAGGGCAATTTGGCATGGGATCAAGGAATGACAGAGGAGACAGATTGATACAGTTTTGCGAAGAGAATCAACTCATTATCTGTAATACATTTTTTCAACATCCACCTAGAAAACTGTTTACGTGGGAGAGTCCAGGAGATATAAATAGAAACCAAATTGACTATGTAATGATTAGAGACAGATTCAAAAACAACATAAAGAACGCCAAAACATACCCAGGTGCGGATATAAATTCAGATCACAACCCTGTGGTAATAAAAATACAAATTAAACTTAAAAACGCAGGAATAAAAACGCAAAGGTCACTCCACATAGACATATCAGCTTTGAAACAGCCAGAAATAAGCCAGCAGTACCTAGTGGAGGTTAAAAATAAATATGACAGATTAATAGTTGAAACCATGGAACAATATCGACGGGAGAATCCAGAGGACAAAATTAATACAAAATGGGAATGTTTCAAAACTAGTATAGAAACAGCTAATGCCATCTTACCCGTGAAAGAAAACAAGAAAAATCAAGTATGGATGACTGAGGAAATTATTCACAAAATGACACAAAGGAAGAAAGCAAAAAACACTCCAGAATATTCATTAATTGACAAATAAATACGAGATATGTGTAGAACTGCAAAGGAAACATGGATTTAGTTAAAAATGCAAAGAAATAGAGGATCTTGAAATAAAACACAGAACCAAGGAATTACATGCAAATATAAGAAAACTTACAAACAAGGAAAAACATTTAACAGGAAATGGTTGTATTAGGGGGAAGGATGGAACAATTATTGTTGATAAGAAAGATATAATAAAAAGATGGACTGAATACACAGAAGACCTGTTTTGGGACAACAGAGGTGACAAACCGCCAATCCATAATATTCAAGAGGGACCAAACATATTAAAGTCTGAAGTAGAGAAAGCCATTAAACAGATGAAACAGGGAAAAGCTGCAGGTCCAGACAACATAACTGCAGAAATGTTAAAATCATTATCTACTTTTGGAATTGATACTATCACAGAAATATGCAATGACATTTATAACTATGGGTACATTCCCAGGGACATGAAAACATCTGTTTTTATCACACTACCTAAGAAATCAAAAGCTGTTGATTGTTAAGATTACAGAACTATTAGCCTAATGAGTCACGTAACTAAGTTACTCTTGATAATAATACAAGCAAGAATTCAAGATAAAATAGAGAAAGAAGTTTCTGAAGAGCAATTTGGATTCCGTAAAAACAGTGGTACTCGAGAGGCCATAATTTGTCTAAAGATGCTGACTGAAAAATATATAGAAGTTCAGAAAAATATTTATGCACGTTTTATAGATTACAAAAAAGCTTTCGACAGAGTGCAACATGAACAACTAATTGCAGCTCTTCAAAACATAGGACTAGATGGAAAGGATATCAGACTTATTAGAAACTTATACTGGGAGCAAGAAGCAACAGTAAGATATGACAACATCTGCTCACCCCAGATAGAGATCAAGTGAGGAGTAAGACAAGGATGTGTGCTGTCGCCTAGCCTTTTCAACTTATGTACAGAAACCATTTTTAAAGAAATTGTAGAATTACCAGGACTGCACATCAATGGTAGATTAATAAACAATCTGAGATATGCGGACGACACAGTGTTGCTAGCAGAGAGTGAGCAGGAGTTGCAAGACCTAGTGGAGCAAGTAAACAGAAGGAGTGCAGAATTTGGATTAGATATAAATTTGAAAAAGACAAAAACCATGATATTTAGCAAAGAAAATAATCAGCTAACAATGAATATCACAGTGAATGCGGTGAAATTGGAACAAGTTAAACATTTCTTTTATCTTGGACAAGAAATAACATGTGACTGCAGAAGTGAAACAGAAGTCTAGAAAAGAATAGGGATGGCCAAAAACATTTTCAGCAACATGCAAAAGTTTCTGACATCAAGAGAAATAAGCAATACATTAAAAATGAGAATTGTCAAATGTTATGTATTCTCAACCTTACTGTATGGCACAGAGACATGGACAATGAACAAACAAATGGAAAATCGTATCAATTCTCTGGTGATGTGGATATACAGAAGATTAGGTCGTATTTCATGGAAACAAAAGCTATCAAATACAGAGGTACTGAGGAAATTGGGAATGAAAAGAGAGTTGCTAGGTGAAATAAAAAAGAGACAAGTGAAATATTTTGGCCACATTAAAAAACATAACAGTATTGTAAATATCATCCTAGAGGGAAAGGTTCAAGGTAGGCGTGCAAAAGGCAGACAGCGTTACAAGTGGGAGGATAACATCAAGAGATGGACGAACAGCAGTATGAGTGAGTGTACATCAAGAGCAAGTGACAGGGCTTGTTGGAGATCCATTGCAGCCAACCTTCATTGTGGAGACGGCACCTGATTGATTGAATTAGTTCTGTACAGCTGATGTATGCTCTACATTCGTTTGGCGGGCAAGTGGAGAGGAGAGTGGAGCGGGTCACAGGCCGCAAGTCAGGTTTTTGTGTTGTTTTACCGTGCAACTTCCAGTCAGGATCAGTGCGACGGCTGACTACATAATGGCAGCCTGGCACAGGTATTACTTGGTGTATCAGGTTTCGCATGTTTGACGTGTTTTCCTGAAGCGACCTGTTGGTATAGGGCAGGGTTATTCAGCTGGCGGCCCGCGAGCCAAATCTGGCCTGCGAAGGCCTAATAAGTGGCCCGCAGATCATTGCCAGCTGTCAATTTCTTCTTCTTTTCTCTGCTCCTGGAATGGCTGGCGGCGTTGTATTGTATATTATGATCTTTCTGTGCTGAGTTTCGGCCCTTTGGCCAATGACGGTCTATCTGAACGACATTTAGGCTCCTGAGTACATTTAGTTGAATGACCCTGGTATAGGGTGTCGGGAAAGTACTGTAGAAGCTACTGTTACACCATGCAGTAGTTCTCAACAGATACGTTTTAGGGTTTCATGGGCACGTAGACTATAACATCGTCAAAGCTAATTTCCTCTGAAATTATATTTTTGAAAGTGCAACAGATCAGACTCCTGCAGTCGACATGTTCCTTAGGAGCAACTTAGAATGCTAGGGCCCTTCTTCTTCTTCTTCTTCTTCTTCTTCTTCTTCTTCTTCTTCTTCTTCTTCTTCTTCTTCTTCTTCTTCTTCTTCTTCTTCTTCTTCTTCTTCTTCTTCTTCTTCTTCTTCTTCTTCTTCTTCTTCTTCTTCTTCTTCTTCTTCTTCTTCTTCTTCT